TATGAGAATAAAATAAAAATAACAATTAAGAAAATTAAATTAACTAAAAACAACAGTAAAGGAACGATGTTACCATTTTTAGTCGATCCTTAGTGTTTGGTTCTGTCTCCTCGGCAACGGTGCCAAAATTTGATTACGCCCAAAGAATAACACATTAGTTGTAACACAACTTAGGAGTGTCGATTTCACAGGGAGATGGAAGAAATGCTCAAATGAAAAAAAAAAAATGATGTTCTCTTGTCTGTGAAGTAGAACTTGTTGTTCGAATAAAATCAATAATTCAATGTTTGAAAGAATGAAATAAAAATAATGATTGGGGTAGCAAAGCATCGGAATTCCCTAAATTGGATTGGATCAATCTCATCAATTATTCATTTTTATAACTCAATTAGAAGCATTCATCTCAACTCTCTAATAAGAAGATATGGCGTTATAAATCAATTTAATTCAATTGTAATCCTATAATCTAAACTTCCCTTAACACAATTGCACTCTTTTTATTGGAATAAGATCAAGAATCGACCATATATATTAAGTATAAGGCAATAATCAATCCACCAATAAAGTAAAATTGAGATTAAAATTCAACAAATAGTTCAATCATTCGATAGAAGAAGCATGACTGGATTTATGAAGAATTTAATAAATGTTAAACAAATCTCAACATAAATTAATTGAAATTGAAATTTAACAAATAATTTAATTTTTCAATGGAAAAAGTATGACTGAATCCATGAAAAATTTAGTAAAGGTTAAGCTAATTCCAAAATATTCATGAAAAGCAAATCTAAATTGTAGAATTGTTTGATAATGAAAAATCGAATTACGTGAATAAAAAAAATGAGAAATCACCAATCCAATGGAGTTCTTTCCTAACTTCACCAAGACTTCTAGTTCTTCATGGAGATTCTTGAGCAAAAACCAAAGAAAAATGTGTATGGAGGTGTCTCTATTCGTTCTAGTACGTTCTAGGGTTTCAAAACAAGTATTTATAGTTGTTTCCATAAGTGATTGATTTAAATTTGAAAATCAGAATTTTTGTCCCAAAAATACTCTATGCGATCGCATAGACTAAGTGAATGTGACCGCATAGAATATTTTAACTTGGCCCTGGAATTCGCTGAAGTATTCTATGCCACCACATTGAATTTAAGTTATGCAACCGCATAGTTTTAGATAACTTTCACATGACAATTTTCAGTATTTTGGTCATATCTTCTCTCTCGATATTCAATTGAGCCGATTTAAGATGCGTTGGAAATCTGACTCAAAGGGTTACAAATCGTCCAGAAATATAATTTTTCCAATCCGAACATTTCCTATTTCAAAAATGGGTCTCAAACTGAGACTGAAAATTTGAAACATAACTTTTTCGACTGTGAGTTGATGTGTGATAATACTTTGACCATATTTTATCCTTTTGGCTTCTTTCCTTTTCCAATTGATGGCTAACACTCTCAAATCTGCATATCTTCATTTTGCCTTCTGATTCATCTTTTGAGTATTTGCAATGTGGTCCTTAAACTTTTGTTTTCTTCCACTTTTGCCAATTTTCACTTATTTCTTTCAAATTTTGCCATAGACGCCTAAATCAAAATATAAAGATAATAAGTGCATTTTGGCATCAAATAATCACATGAGAACAACAAATAAGAGGGAAAAACATTATACTATATAGTCTTATCAAGTTTTTTTAAGAAAATATATTTGTTTTCTTATAGATTCACGATGGATTGCCGCTTAATTGATAATGCAACTATACATACTATTTTTCAAGATAAAAAAAATATTTTTTTTGGATTTAGCATTAGCAGAAAATAATGTTAATATGATATCAGGTGTATAGAATATCGTTAAAGGCTCCGGAAGAGCTTGTATTATTTTACCAAATAATACAAAATTATATATTGACGATACATTTTATTCAAGCAAATCCAAAAGGAATTTGTTTAGTTTTAAAGATATCAATTGTAATGGATATCACATTGAGACGATACAAGAAAAAAAATTTGAATATCTATGCACAACTTTTTTGTATCTGGCCAGAAGCAGATAAAAGAAAATTTTATGTTCTCCCATCCGGCATGTATTATAAATTTATA